TTCACTATAACAAGTTAGAAAGGTCCTGAAGCTGCATCCTCATCCTTGGTTGAACACAGGGCAAATAAATGCAATGGTGGCAACTGCTTACTCGGCTGCATGGAGACAGGCTGGAGGAGGGAGTGATCCCCCCGCCCCCATGAGCATCAGTAGGCATGTACTCTCCAAGCAGTATCCTTACCAGGGAGGCGGATAGAGTAATTTAAACAAACAAGGCCCCAGTGATGGAAATTTCAAGCTCAAAGCTACCATATGGAGGGAAATTATCTGACCACAATTTACCTGTTAGACTTCAAAAGTGTCTAGGTCTCCTCTAAAGAAAAGCAGTCTTTTCTTTAATGAAGTTAAGTACTGTATTTCAGCACCGTGTGTTGTGAAAAGGAAGCAATTTGGATTCATTTACTGAAATTTACCTTTCAGATGCAGTTAAGGGAAATTAAAAGTTTGTCTGAGTTGACAGAGTTCTGTTTTCCATCACTGCATTGTCTTGAAAGAAAGGATAACAGGCTAAGTGCTTAAATTCCATCCAAACTGATAAGGTTCACTCTATACAGGCACACTTAGTGCAGTTTATTACACATTGTCTCCCTTCATCCATCACTGGTATAACTGGTTTTTGTGGGCCTAAAGTAACCATTGCTTCCAAAAGAAATTGATATTCGTGATGTTTTTGCATTCATCTGGGGTTGAATAGTCAGCACTGGGCTATCAGAGAAATGCCATTTCCAATTACAGGGGGAATTAATTTCACTAATGGCAGGTTTTGAAGGGCTGAGCTTACATCTGGGATAAGAATTTCTTTTTTTCTTTTCTGATAACAATTCTTTTCCTTTAATTTCTTTCCTGTGCAAGTGAAGCATCTGTGTGTCCGTAGTGTCTTTCCAAACACCATCTTCACCCAGGTCTCTTCCTCGGCAGTGGGAATGAACCTTTGAATTTGCCCATTACATCCTCTCTAATTCTTTCTTCCCACCACTGTATTTCTCTCTTTCACATCTCCCAGCTGCCATCACTCCTTTCAAACCTCACACTTCCTGAAACACCCTCCCAGTTACTAACTCCCCTCCCTCCCTTTTCCCAGGAGCTTTCTTCCCGCCCTGCCTTAGGGCCCCAGGAGCTACAATGCTCCCCCCAAACTGGGAGAGGTTCTCTTCTCTTCATCTGGTTTTGTCTGTAGCCTTAAACCGTTTGCCCACTAGAACAAAGGTGTGATCCTGATCTGGCCTTCACTGACTACTCCGAAACGTCACAGACATTTGTCTTCTCAGCTCAACATGAAAAGCCAGTGAATGATCTGTAATTAATTATTTATATTACAAGGGGAAGCTTAGCTAACACAGTATCTAGAGGAACAATAACACACTCTGTATGCCAAACTGCAGCCTTCCAGCCCAAGGGTTTTACCTCCCCTCCCTGCTGCCCCTGCTGGCTTTTGGCTACAGGAGCTAGCTAGGGTTTAAGTTTTGCCTAAGTTCAAATTCCTCCCAAAGACAGGCTTCAGAACTGCACATTTCTGCAAAATCAAGTAGTTAAAGAAAAAATCCCGCTACTTGAAATGTCCATTTAATTTTGATTCTTGACAAACAATTTCAAACACAAACTGCAGCCAGGCAGGACTTTTTCATTTTGTTTAGATTTTGGGGGAAGGAGGCAGAAGGGAGAGGAAACCACACATTTCATCAGCATTTTTTATATTTTTAATAGCCTTAGTGTAGCTGATTACCCAGGAGACCAGCAAATCTTAGCTCTATCAAAGACAGGAGAAGACAGAGCAGAAGCTTTCTCATCCTTCACAGTGGTTCTAACCGTCCAACACACAAATCTAAACACTGTCCACTCAGGGGTGCCAACTCAAATGCCTCAGCTGTTAAGACAGAACAAAAAGGAAAGGACAATCTCCAAGGTATAACTGAAAGTATATGCTAATGATGATGTGTGACATTAAATGATGACTCATTTTTCACGAGGCCATTTCAGATTGTAGCTATAACCTCAGATCAGACCTGAATGACTGTGTAAGCTGAAGTCTTAGTGAAGCTATTATTTATGGATTTTCTGGCTTTGATAGGTTGGAGTCAGACCTTTGATGTTCCTTTAAGGTTGTTCTCCTGTGTTCATTTCCTTTGTTTCTGTGTTGGTAGCTTAAAAAAACACCCCAAGATTTCCATGGAAGTGTATGAGATAGCCTAGAAATGGCACAGTCCTTAACAGCCCTGCAATTCATGGCTCGTAAAGTCCTCTAATCCACAGTCAATAAAGCTTTGGAAAAGAGCTGTATGAACCACAGTCATTTCACAGTTCAATGAGGTTCACATGAGAATCAGTAATCTGGTTTAAATTCACCTGGATTTGTCCTCCACCTGTATATTTCTCTTTGACTTTTCAGGTTGAAAGGCAGCTCAAACAGCTGAATTCTGTAGACCTCACATGGAAACAATGCAGTGTTCACCCAAAAGCCGTAACAATGACCTAAATCCCTCTACTTTGTCTCAAAGGTGAACAAGTCAAGTTTCAGGTGACAACAGGTGAGTTAGGAAACTCAAACTGGAAAAAGAACCATTTGGAAACATGGGGCCAAAGCTCAAGGTAATACTATGTGCAGAGACCTCAGTCCATATAGAACATGGGGGACTCCAATTTAGGTATATGCAAATGCACAATGGATCTACAGGACTGGCAAGAGTGTGAACTTCTAGTACACTGATGATCCTCCAAAAATGAGTGCTAACAGTCTCACTGTTGAGTGCTGGTGAACATTATTGAGGCAACACAATATAAGTTCACATGCTTCTCTCCTGCCCAGGTAACACTCCATTGCCCATATTATTAGCTATCCTAGCTGTTTCCTCGCAAGAATGATCATGCCACAAAGTCTGGTGACAGGCACACATTTCTGCTCTTTTCTTGCCAATCAGAAAGGAACCAGTTAGAGAGAACTCAGTGTTTATTGCTTTGTGCAAGGTCCAGCTTCCAATTAATGCTGATGAAACCCAACTGCCAAAAGCACAATATGCAGCAGCTGGTTTATGAAAGTTGAGACCCCATCCAATTTATGGGGAAACCAGAGCTGGTTGTGAGTCTCTGATTTAGCTGAACAGTTTGTATTTTTTGTTTTGTTTTGTTTCCAGGAAAACACCAGCAGTTACTCCAGAACTGTAGAAGCAGTAAAACCATCTGAAAGCACTAAGGCAGACTTCCCTTCTTCCAGCCTTTCCTGATTTCTAGGGCTGTGATCTCCCACTAATATCTCCCTGGGATCTTTCAGCAAGGCAGGCGACACACAGCGTCTGGTTCATCACCAGCATGGTGGGAGCGGAAACTTATGTTTCCTTATCCCAATCTCCATCCTTATGAAATGGAAGTAGAGGGATTAAAGGTTTTGATTCAGATGAAATCTCACAGGAGCGCAAAGCGAATAATTTAACTCTAACCTGGTGAACTAACCTTTTAAATACTTTTCCTAGGAACATTTCTTACTGAAATAAAAACAGCAAAAGGCACAAAAGTCCACCAAAGCTGTGCAAGCACCACTGTTTTAAACACCCAGCTGCACATTTCCACAGCCATATCAGGCCCAATATCCAATATCCTTTCTGGATAGACAGGATGGAGGCAGGAGGATTGTGCCTAACAGCCAGGCTCCCACCAAATCTATTTCAGCACCTCACTTGTATGACACATATGGTGAGCTGGACCAGACACCCTTGTGAAATGCTGGGACATCATGGGACACCATGACTTGGGAGCCCCCAGGCAGAAGAAAGATAGAAAAGTCCCTTGTCCTCAAGGCAATCAACTATGTTGAACCAAATGCCTCTTAGTTCATGCCTAGGCATGCTCTGTGGAGAGGATCCAACCACTGAACACACTTTGAGAACAAAACACATGAATCCTTACCAAGGCTGGCATTAACCACAGAAATAGCCTTACTATGTTAAGATTAATATGCAGCAGCTTAATAACAACCCTTACATTCACCCTGGGAATACAATAAACTACAAAAAAATGAGGCAACTGCTCCATTAAAAAGAATGAATAAAAATGAAAAAAAAATCCCAAAGCACAAATATGTGGAGTTTTTTCCTTAGCAAAGGGAGAAGCCTCTGAAAGACTATGACTCATTTTACTTGCAAGGAATTTAGGTGCTATGAAAATGGGAATAAGAGTAATGCTCAAAGACAATCATTACATGTATAGGTGAGCAGCCAGTTCCCAACAGATTATTTCATTCCTTTTACTTGTTAGGAGATCAATAAACATTGTGGCTGTTTATCTGTCCATGACTTGGCCTGGATAAAGGCACTAAGAGCTTTCCCAGTATTAGAGGTGGAAGAATAAATTGCCCAGGAATCCTAAAAGCACACATCGAGAAGCCCTGGTCAAACATGAACACTCTTATTCAAACACTGAATGGGAGTTTTAACCTCGGACTAAGATTGGAATGGCCACAGAAATGTGCCTACCTCCATTCTCCTCACATAGAGACAGGCCTTAGTTAAGTTACTTCATTTTGCCTCAGTTTGCTGTTTTCAATGCAGTCTGAGATGTTAAAACATTTCAGCCCCAGAACACAGTCAAGAAGATTGAAAATCAGATATGTCAAAATCTTAAAAACTCCCAGGAATATTCTGCATGGTTGGAAAATGGGCAAGTCTTTGGGCTAAAAACTGACAGTAAAGACTGGAAGATAATTATTGGAGGAAAGAGGGAAAACACAGAATACTTCCCATTGTCATATTTTTCCTGTTTTTACTCTGACAAGTCTTTTAAATATTCTAAGCATTAGCTTCTTTTGTCTTTACTTTTAGATCAAACGTGCCTATAAGCCTTCCTCCTAGTTCTTCATTAGGCTCCAAAAACATCGCCTCACTCCCTGTCTCTCCCATTTAGCCTTTCTCCAACCCCCCTTATGGTCTACTCAACAAGAGCTGGGATCTGTAAAGAGCAGCTGGTTAGGAGACATCAGGAAGAGGACAGGGACCATAAAAGTTATGACTCACCTGTCTTCTATCCGAACCCAGAGGTCATTGAACTGCCTCTGGCGATGGTGTCTGTGCTGCTTCTTGTGCCATTTTTTCTGCCTGCCAAACTCTTCCAGCTGGCTGATGCTATCTGGCAACAGGAGGTGAGGAGACAGGCTGTCGTCTTCGTCCACCTGCAGGGGCTTCAGGGAAGGAGATGTCAGTGGGACCTGCTCAGAAAGCTGGACAGCAGGCAGGGCTGTTGCTGAGGACCCTTCCAAGGCTGGGCTTGTCTTTGTTGTCCTTGAACTGCAAAACACAACATTTAAATGTTTGATGAATAAGAGAGGGACTGGATTAAGAAAAAGTGAAAGCAGGGGACTACACTACTTGGTGGGTGCTCCTAATGCTAAGAGGGTGTACAAGGAGAAAGGCTTTTGCTCTGGGGCAGCAACGAAGACAGCAGTGGCATTTCCTAGCAAGCTTTCAAATAAACACTACACTGAAAAAGTGGGAAAAGGCAGTTGATACACTATTGCTGTTTTCTGGCATTTTAATTACTTCTAACAGGCTTTAGAGCCTGTGGTAGGGGTCAATGTCACCTCCCCTCTGGGCTGAAGGCTAAATCACAAAACTGTGACTCTCTAAGGAAAACAGGTACCTTAACAGAAGCGGATCTTAAATTAATGAGATAACACTAGTTCCCTTCTTTTTTTTTTAACCTTGGATATCATCTGTAGAAAACAAGTCATTGTTTTGACTGCAACAATAATTATGCTTCTTCATCTGAGTTAGGACTGATGACAGGGAAGCACAGACTGACGACAGAAGCATGGTCTAATAGCTAGGCTGCTGGGATGGGATACGTGAGACCTGAACTCTAGCAGTTTTTGTATAATGGAGAAATGAAGCGAAAAAGGGGGTAAATGACCTGTTCAAAGCCACCTTGAAACAATACTTCCAGAGCTCTTCACTCCTGTTTGACATACTACCACCTCTTGCATCTGACCAGAACTATACAGAAAAAGGCCTTTTGTTGTTTTCATCTTCTAGAGTTTCACTAATTTTAGAAAAAAGTCAATACAAACTCTCTCCTTTGCTATGTGGCCATGTGAACTTGCATTTGTGAGCTAAGGTATCTGAAACAAAAATCTAATAAACCAGTGCTGACACAAAGTGATTTTTTTTCCCCTAACTTCAGTAGAAGTTCCTGTTTGGTCTCAATTGCAAGAAAGGAACGTTTTCTGTCTCTGGGATGGCCCAATGAGTTGTAGGTACAGAAAATGGAAGAGAATTAATAGGCAATATGAAGCTGCGGTCTGCAAAACTATTTCTATTACATGGATGCTATGACTTTTATGACAGAAACAATTAAAGCCACGTGAAAAGTTTTGCCTCCTGAGTGAAACCAGTAAGACATTTTAATGAAAAAGTAATAAAAAATCCTAAACTTCATTGGTGACAATGTACAAAATGTGCTGCAAGTGAAACCACATGTTTCATTTATGGAACATTTTGTTCTCTTCCAAAAAAGTCAGAACTCCTACTAATGGCAGCTTCTTTTCTTTTTGATTTTTTTTGAAGTCCATTACAATAGTAGTCAAGATGGTCATCTCTATTTCCACTGCATAATATTTCACCCAAAGGTCCTTACAATAGCTATTGATAATTAATCGTTGCTACTATGAGACTCACTGGCAAAAACTACAGTAACTTCATCACTCATAGCCAACATTAATGAAGTTCTTCAGAGATCATATGACAGATATAGAAAAGAAAGACTCCTGTTTAAACTAATTCTAAAATTCTCCAAGGTTGCTTTCATTAATAAAAGACACAAGAAAGTTCCATATTTTTCCTTTTTTTCCAAGCATTCAGACTCTCACTAAGTCCTTTTCAAACTCATTCATACTCACTCCATGCTCTATTTCACATCACAGAAAAATCTGCTGGTTCTGCATTTTTTTTCTCCATTAAGACTTTCTTCCATGATTCATGTTGAGGATGAGTTTTCATCAGTGCAGCAACTTTCTCTGAGAGATGTTGGTGCTCTCCAAAGCCTTTAGGACTTCTTTGGCTGCGACATAGACTCATGGCTGAAGCAAAGCCAGACTCAAGTAAAAGGAAAGGTTCTCATAGGTTTGCGTTGGGTGGGTCCCTCAGGCCACAGCAGACAGTTCTTAACTTTTATCCAACCGCAATGGTGGATCAGTGAAATACCAACATGCAAATGCAGCCATTTAGCAGCTTAGAAGATAACACAGTGTGCACTTGGATAAGATGGGTTAGGCAGGTAGGAAGGACCTGGACCAAGCATCTGCAAACACCATGTGGGTAACTGCAATGGCAGCAGGCAGCAATGGGTGGCAAGAAAGACCCAGCCTCCTTGCCTGCTGCACTTATGCCAGAGCAATGGGAATACAAGCTGGTTGATACTGCCCAAAGACAGCTCGTTCTGGTACTGCTCTAGGTAGCTCTGCTCTTCATTGTGTGGTGTGAATTTGCCCAGGTCTTCCTGCAACCCAGCCATCCCTCTGCACACTGGGGAGAAGAACACTACCCTGGCCACAAGGTTGTGGTGGGCAGAAACATGTTAAGAAGGCAAGAGCATTGGAGCAGACACGAGAGCCCAAAGTAGACAGACAATGGCATCATCACAGCTGGAACTGAGCTGTTGCCAAGATTTCTGTTTCCATTGACTTTCTTCTTGCCACCGAAACTGTGCCTGATGTTCTGATCATTCAGTAATTCCCTGAGACACTGAGGGTAGGAGCAGCCCCCACATCTGCCAGCTCAAGGCTGGGGCTGCCATTTGGTTCCTTGAATGGTCTTAGAGACATCTGAACACATACTTTCCACCTTTTAACACCTACTATTTTGTTACATGTGTTTACCTTGCTCTGAGCTCCTAGTAAACTGGAACCAGTAGAGAGGTGTTTTTATGGGTTGAGATTTTAGAAACCACTTAAGACGACTGGCAGCTCACTTCCTATTAAAATTAATGAGTTTGGGCATCAAAATCCCAGTGGTGGCTTTGAAAGCTTCTAGCTTAATTGTTTCCACTACCATCACATGAGCCACAGGTTGTAAACTTGATATTTCAGAACATTCTTTGGGAAGAGAATGAATAAACACTGAAGAAACATTAAAATGTTGTAACCTAAAGAGGGTTATAAACTAACCACTTGTACTTCAGGGTTGACGCAGGGGGAATAGCTCCACTGTGGCAACTGCATATTACATTTGGTTGATACTTGTTCCATTATTCCTGTACTACTAATAATTACCCCAAGACCTAGGAGGGACTGTTGAAGGCTGTATGTTGATGCATGCTTGCTTCTTTCAAAAAAAAAAATTTTTTTTAAAACTGATATAATAAATCTAGAGACCTGGATGTTTTCAAATCTGATCATCATCCTACAGACATTCAACCAGAAGTAAAATCAAAACTTTTAATCCCACAGAATATGGGTATTTAATCCAAATATATTGTAAGAATATTTAAAGATTTTAATTCAAAGTAAGGTAGACTTCTTATCAGAAGATAACTTTCCCATTGACTTCAGTAAAAATTTTACTAATACAAAGGGCTTGAATTTATTCATATTCTGGATTTTTTCCCCCACTAAAAAAAAAAAAAAGGGCACAAAACTTCTACCTGCAATAGAATACCTGGACAATAGATCTCCCCATTGCGTGAAGCTTTACTGTTAGATTCAACTGATTATTTTATGGACTATTTCGTGCTTTTCCTTTGGTCTCAGTCTCAATGCACTCTGTTAGCACAGCTGCACTGTATGAAACCATGGGGATATAATACACTTTTTTTTCCACTCCTTCACTACTGCTGAGACAGCTTTTCAAGATACATAGTTATTTTTAAAGCCAGAGAAAAAGCAGGGCTAGTTTTCAGTTTGTGAGGACACAGTGCCTCTTCTGAAGAAGGAGTGAGAAAGTATCACCCAAGTATCTTGGTCCACACAAAGATCTCAGAGATTTTTCATTAATAACTTGATACAACTCCAGGCTTAGAGGTTCCACCCATTTTTAAATCTACCATTCCCACACAGGGTGGTCTTTGAGAAACTAAAAGTATTTCAGGCCCTTAGGTGGGCTTTGCTCATCTCTGACCTTAATTTCCTTCCCTGGGACGCACAGTTCTGCAAAACAAGTTCTCTATAATAACAGAGTCCAAATAAGAAAACTTGGGAGTCTCAGCAAATATCCTACGTGGCTTGGTCCTCAGGTACAGAAAACAGTGAAAACAGGAAAACATTTATTCTTGCTCGTTCTTGAATATGCTTAATCCATAGATGAAGACCCCTGTGGCTTTGTTTCATTTCTGGTGGAATTTCCTACCCTTTTCTAATTCTTTTCAAGAATTAAAAGAACAAAACAAAACACACAAGTAGTTTAGGCTGAGCTATATGCTCAATTAGGCCGTCTCAGCATTTCTTTTTCTGCCTTGTGGTCTCTAGTGTCGCTCTGTGCTTGCACTGACAATAGAGAACTGACTCATCATCGGTATTTGCTAGGGTGATCGAGTGGATCTGGTCAGAAAAGTGACATTAATATTATGAAGTCCTGTAATAGCTTATTTTTGTAATTCCCAGGCTTAAAATTACCTAGGTCCCACTTTCATTCAACCCCAAGCCACCTGGCAGTCTGGCCATGCCTTCCTCCCTGCCCAGGCAAGCATCTTCCTACCCCTCACATCAGGTATCCAATTTCCGCAGCTCAGAGGGCCATGACCATCTCCGGGCTTGATAACCTTCTCTGTAGGGTGAATCATAGCATCCACGTTTTGTCCCTGCTCTGAACGGCTCTTGCGAATAGCCCACCTTTCCCCACTGGTGGTGGCTCCATGGTGTTAACAGTACACCTTGCACTGCATCTCATCCCCACCAACAGGGGTTTTCCCAACTGCTGATTCACTGACAATTGTCTGAGGGAAGAATCAAGGCAGGGCAGACCCCACTAACGCCTCTGCCCACTGACCCTGCCAGAGTAATATTAATAACATTCGGAGTGAGTCCCATGAAGTCTCCCCTGGACTTCAGCAGGGCCAGGAATTTGCCCTTGCTTTAGCTCATGAGAAAGGACATGCCTTTGCTGACCATACACATCTTCCACACAACTAAATCATCAATCTATTTTTTCAGCGATCTTGCGGTAACGTTTCTGTTCCCTCAGATATGTGCAGAATCTTCTAAATTTGCCAATTTGTTATTTGCATCTTGTCTTTGTAGCGCGAGCAATGGAAAAGTTTTGCTCAGAAGACTGCCATGCTTTGCGCACACTTCCAAGTA